AGCCACGTCCAAGTGATCTGAGGGCGCGGGCGCTTCGGTCTGCGCAAGCGCCGGAAAGCGCCGGAAGTGATCTCTCGCGCATGTACGTCACTCATTGTTTACACAGAGATTTCGGGAGTGTTACCTTTCACTGTGAAGATCTAAACATATTTAGATATACAGGAAATCGCAATGGAAGACGATTTCGATATATCAACAGACAACGTTGAATTTTTTTCCGCAACCGCGCGAGACATCACTTCCGGCGCTTGCGCAGACCCAAGCGCCGGCGCCCTCAGATGACTTGGACGTGGCTGTGTTTACAAGAGGTAAAAACGATATAAATACTGTTCGTTTTCTCACACAAACCGCTCGTTTCGTGTCTTAGGCCATCAATGTGTACTTACATTTACGAGTCATTAAATCATGTTTAATTTGGACTTCTCTGCATGCTCTTTGAGGTGGTGACCATAGACCTGCATTATATGACTGATAGACAAGAACGGTTTGACCTAAAAATATCAAAATTGAATCTACTGCGGAAACAAAGACACCTACATCTTGGATGCCCTTGAGGTAAGCTAAAACATATCAAAAATTTATTTCAAAGTGAACTATCCCTTTAATCACAATCGTATTTGCATTAAACAAAGAATTGTTTATTCTGCTTATTATTAATAATATATGTCACTGTTTATTTAAAATGTTTGTATTTTTAAAGGGGTAACGCTTCCTTTTACAGTACAATACTTACGTGTACTTACAGCGTACTTACCTAGAAAGTACTGGCTAATATAAGGTAAGTACATGGGTTAGGGGTAGGTTTAGGGGTAGGTTCAGGGTTAGTACCTAGTTATTACCCAGTAATTATAATTACTATAATAAGTACATAGTAAGTACATGGGTAACATGACTGTAAAAGGAAGCGTTACCTTTAAAGGTACACTATGTAACTTTTGTCCCTCTAGCGATTAAAAAACAAAACTGCATTTTGCAGCAGAACATTGTTTTGGTTGTGCTTAATGAACATGGTCATCCTACTGCTCATAACACATTCACTAGTCTTACGAGATTTAACCAGTTTAGATGGAACGGATCTCCAGCTGACTAGCTGAAGACATTACTGTAGCTATTAATAGACACAGTACTTCCATGAAAATAAATTCCAGCACAGCGCTACAAGAACGATAATGAAATGACCCTTCACAACAGATAATGCTTTAATGAACTCTGTTAGAGAGCTATATGACCCTTCAGTATATGACCCTTTATCTGTTCAATACAATACCTTACTCACCTGTTGAGTAATAAAAGCACCATCTTCTCTTTTACAACATTTCAAATCCCTCAGTTCTCTCCATCTCCGAAAAGCCAAGCCAATGTAGATTCATGTTTTATTACGGAGGATTGATGATGTTGATTCATAATGTAAATTTTGTTCATTCTGAACAAGAAAAAGTTACATAGTGTACCTTTAATCATATTGCTTTTGATCCCTTATGTGGTCACTCTAACACACAGCATCTCAGGGCTTATTGCTTTATAATCAATATTTTCCGTATGAGTACATTATCACATGTACATAGTTTGTTATTTTTCACATGTCAGTTTGTAATTAAGCAAACTAAACTAACCCTGATTCATAATCCCTATTGTTTCAGTATTTGTTTATTCTTTATAGTGCGTATTGTTTACAGTGCTCACATTCTGTAAGTTACACTGCAGACGTATATATTGACTGGAATAACAATAAACTTGGCTTGTTTTGACTTGTCTAAAAATACTGATGAGATCATGTTAGATTATGAATTAAGTTAACAGAAAAACAAATGTTTATATAAAAATAGTCTACGCACACACACACACATATATATATACTGTATATAAACAAAATGATAAAAAATAATTAATGATGCTATTATTGTAAAAATACAACACATGAAAAAAAACATGTTCAAATAACAATGAAAAAAGATAAAATAACACAATTAAAGTGTTAGAGAATACAATTATAACAATATTTTGAGCATGCTCTATAGGCCTTTGTTGTAACATTATTAAATATGACAATATATTAATTAAAATGACATTTCTAGATTCAATATTATGACTATATCTATATAATGTGACAATAAAACACAGTTGCATAATTGTGAAGTGTAAAGAGAAGATAACAAATTAAAGCATCTTTGAACATTGAAATCATTTAATGTTTTAAAGCAAATACAGTTTACTTCACTGGGTCAACACATGTGAACAATATATATTTTTTTTTTCATATCATTACCGACCTCAGCAGACATACATTCACACGGCTGCATGAAGACAAGATCTTTCTTAATGTTTTTGTTTTTTTTGTTTGTTTGTATGTTTTGTTGCAGTTATGTACAAAGTCATTGTAATGCATCAGCCCCACATCTCTATACACACCATTAACATATCAAAACCTATCTACCCAAGTCAATGTCAAAGTAGATTTATGGCAATAAGCTATACATCTCCAGCCGCCTGAGCGGTTTAATTTGTTTTCTAGTTCAGTTTCCGCTCAACGTCCAGACTTGAAATTCAGTTCCCCCTACATACAGTAAACCCAGCTATAGTTTCCAAGGTACATTATTTACAGTGGAATGTCAGGCTTTGAAGTGGGCAGTTAGAAAGACATGAGAATCTGGAATGAAAAATCGAAAATCTGTATATCTAAAGAAAACGAGGAATGTAAAAAAGCAATATTTTGTCTGTTGAACAATATTTTTAAAAAGTATGTTTTTCTTAGTACGCCCATGCTATTTAATGTTGCTAGAAGCCTCAACATCAACTGATACTCCAGATAGACTACTCTATTAAAAGAAAAGTAAAACAACAAAGCAAAAATGCAGCTAAAATGGGTCATGAAAATTAATTGGAGTCGATGAAATCTCTTATTTTAGATTTTAAGCCAAAATAGCTATTTGGTGGATGGGTAACTTGTGCTTAGCTTTAGAAGAAAAAAGAAACCCTTAAATTGACAAAACCCTGGGAGCATGTTGTCAATGAAAGAATGAAAGTGATATGAACATAACTACATATAAAATGAACTACTAAATACATTTCTGGAACAAAAACTTGTGCTTTAGCTGAAGTGATGCCAGTCTCTTTAATGACGGCCATGATTACGCAGCAGGTTTCCAGTCGTGAGCTGGTTAACAAAGTGCTGACAGACCAGCGATGTGCTGCTTTTTGTATTTTGTCATGTCACATGATGAAGCAGAGAGAATATTTCTATTTATGAGGGTTTAAAAAACCTGGTAAAAATACAGCTTCTATAATACTCGAAGTCCAGGCGATGCGCTTTCCACCACGCTGGCCAACTTGTGTAGATTCATATCTTTATCGTGTCAATGTCGTAAAAATGTACAGTGAGGGGAGACAAGACACAATAACTCTAAAAAATAAAACAATATGTACAGGAATCAGATCTAAATAAAGACAAAACCTTACATCTCACACGTCATAGGCACTGCAATTTGTATAACGCTGCACGTTGACCTTACTAAGCTAAAATACAAGGTTTGCTAAGCAACAAATGTACAGTTATTCATCATGTGGTCCGTTTTAGGTCAAATCAAGATGTGCATGGGTCTACCAATAAGGTTTTATTCATATGTAGCTTAGATGTTAGCATATTTCGGCTTTCCTCATGGTTTGGACCATAAAGAATGGTCTGCGGCTGCAAGTTCTAGTTTGATTCTTTTGACAATGGCCTCATCCACCAAAAGGAGTGTGGTGCTCTGAGCCTTAATGCAGAAAAAAACCCATCAGATTCTGTGCCGCCCTGCTAATGGCCGATAATTCTTAAGTAAGTGGCGTTCATCTGGAGTTTCCTCCATTTACAGGTCCTCCTGGATTGTCTATGTGATTACAGCGGTTCAGCATCCCAATCTCTCATCTTGTACAGAGTCCCGTTTAAGGCAGGCAAGATAATTAAATATTTCATGGGCAAGCCATGATAAATTCCACTAACGCGTTTTTATCTGTTGGGTGATATGGATGCAGTTAGGGAGGATATTTGTCTCTAGGAAATACAATCCTTTAGTGGAAAACTTCCACTGAACACCAAACCCTGATTCAAAAAAGTGAGACAAAAGGCTGGACCAAACAAAGAGTGACTAAAAAACACACACATGCATTAAAAATGCTTGTACATTTTGCAGCCAAAACAGGTATGTCCGTATCTTGATGAACAGCCATTGTATTCATTTGAATACATCCTAATTTGTAGCCAACAGGTCTGCTCCTTATAGAGGATCAGCAAGGATTTGGAAAGGATTCTGGCCTCGCAGCAGATCCTGGGCTTTCAAAGATCCAGCGGTACATAACAAGCCTGTCTGTGATGCCCAGTTGCTGCCATGTTTACCTCTGATTTCACTTTGGCTTGAGACGTTTCCGCAATTTCATTCCCATGACCCATGCCTTTACCGCTACCTGCTTTCGGAAAAAAAAAGTTCTTCCATTAAAAGGCTCTAAATGGTGGTTGACACAAAAATCCCCTGTGGAGCTAAACATTACCGTTGAACCTGTTCATATTTACAAGATCTTGAATTGAACATTTTGACCACTCCACATCACCAACTCTATATAACAAACACCCTGTCTTTACAACAACACCACATTATACAGGATTTTCCTTTTGCGTCTTAAGAGTTTCAGAGGAAATGGATTTTGGAAAGCATCACTGTGAAAACACTATGGGATGGCACATCCGAGGTGGATCTATGGATGGAGACTGACTAAGACTGGCATGGAGATTGAGGGGCGGGTGGGTGGGTGTATATCTGTCTAGGCTCCGTTCTGCATGCTTGACTGCAGTGAGCATATGACTAACGCTGCAGATGTGTTCCTCAGCTCTCAGCATAGCCGGGTCTTAAAATAAATACTGTTTTTGGAGAGCAGTCGGAACCCACATGCTCCCCCCCCCCATTGGATTGTACGCTTTCAGGCGATACCACATTTTCGGACCTCGTTTGTTATTTAGGGTCCTTTAAGATGTTCCTTTAAGAACTGCACAAATATGATGTTTCCATTAAACACAATAGTGTTGATGTGACCTTTGACCTTATAATGAAAAGTTTGGGCAAGAATAATTATTCTACTATTTAGTTCCACATTTTTAGGTCACCAACATTCCATATAAAAAGCAAGACTATATAAAAATGAACAAAACTATTAATGTAAAAGCAATGCTAATATGCTAATGAGATTTAAAAAAAGACAAACAGATAAAAAAATAATCGTACATCCAGTGTAAGACTTTCACAACATGATCAGCAATATACCCCTTTCCAAAACAGTTACAGTCTCTTTTTATACATTTAATACATTTATAATAACAACAAAATGAGACAAAAAGGATAATACACTGTAATATTTTCAAGCGACCTGCCTGTCCAGCCTTACTGGATGTCGATTGGCATCGGTCAGTGAGAAAACTTCTTGTTGTCGTAGCAGGTTCATCTAAAAGCATGTGGATGTGCAATGGATGATGACGTGTTGATGCCGCAAGCTATTTTTCTACAGCTGTTTTCGATGGACTCTGATGGGGGGCGGAGGTTACTGGGTCAGGGGTGGGATGTGCAGATAAGGATAAACACATTGAGGGAGGGTTCTAGTGATGGAGGTGGGTGGATGTGGTCGGATGCAGGAGAGGGCAAAAGGTCGTAGATCTTTTTTCCTTGACGTTGCATGCCACTCTACACGTACCACTCTTTCTTTGAAATAACAGAGCCGTCGGTTTGGGAGACCATGTCGTCGGCGATCTCGGGCTCGGGGTCGTACTGGAAGGCGAGGGTCCGTTCGTCGTAATCACGACTTTCGCCTTCATCTACGGTGAAATAGGGTCTCTTCAAATCCTCAGAGTTGCCGTCGAAATCTCGATCGCCGCCCTCGAAACCGCCGGGTCCGCTAATTTGAGCCGGCTTCTTTTCATCGTCCGAGTCGTCGGGGTACTGCAGGTTCTTGGGCATCGGAGGATGGGCAGGCACGCCACCGGCTTTGCTGTATCCATTCCCGAACACATGTTTTTTGGTGCTGTAGTCACCCTTAAAGGTGCGCTGGCGACGCCGCAGGAAGAAGACGAGCAGCGCGATGGCGGCCGCCAGCAGGGCCACCCCACCAACCGCGCCGCCAATGGCAATGCCGGAACTATGCTGCTCCAATGGGATCTCACGGCCAACGTGAGTCGGGAAGATAGGGAATTCTGGGTAGGAAAACACAGATGGAAGGGGAGAGTGTGTCAGTGCTCAGGTGGGAAGGAAGTGCATTTGTGCAGGTGCTCATTTTTGATGAGGAAAGGAATAAAGGGGAGGAGAAACAAAAGGGAAAACAGGAAGGAGCCCCCGCCCCATAACCACCAACCCACCCACTCCTACAAAACCAACCCATTAGGATGGCTTCACATAGAAAAGCAAGACCTGAATGTTCACTCAAATCATGCATTTTATGGAAAGAACACAAGAACAAACACCCAAACCATTTTGAATGAAACAATAATGAACACAAGTCTTGAATCTTCGGGCGCCTATACACTAGGGTTTCCATTTGGCATGATTTTAAGACTTGAGACATGACTTCGGTTTCACATACAAAAGTTGGAAGGTACGACTCAATTGGATTGGCTACATTTAAACAACTTACAACCCATTCTATCTCCCGAGGTGTCAAAAACTGAAGCATGGACAAGCACCCTGTGCATCACTATTAAGACTCTAAAAGGTACCCATAGGCGTCACTATATTGACAGTAGAAAATCCATTGCTTTCATTTCATTTCTTTGCATGAATTTGTAAAAGTAGAAATCATTATTGTGGCAGTTTAAATTGAAAATCATATCCTAACATGCCATAATAAAATTATACTCCAATATATAATTTCATGACAATAAATGTCCCATGCCCTTCACATCTTTGTATTGATATCAAAGGTTTCTTATTGAAAGCAGTGGAGTTCCAGGTTTGTCAATATAGCAACCACTTGGGTTACCTTTAACATATTAATAATGACGCTAAAGGCACTTAACCATAATTTGATCCCTTGGGAGTGAGAATGGATTGAATATTAATAGGATATATGGACCCACCATTCAAGTCTCATTGATGTTGCAGTAAATGTTAAACTTTTCCTCAACTTTAGGTTGCTTTTTGAAGCTCTTGACCTTGCTGGCTTACATTGAATACATTTTTATATCATACTTTGTTATTCTCTTAAACCATTCATGAAATACATTTATTTCCTTTTTGCTAAATGATTTAAAGCACAGATGAAAAGTCCTAATGCTGCAGGTAAAAGGCAAACCAAGCACTACAGCTTTCAAATGTTCATAGCGTCTTTTTAATCAGTGATGTGTTTTTTATAGTCATGCTGGAACATAAATCCCCTACAAGGCTACTGTACATAGTTACAGCTGACATACTGGTTATGGTTTTGTTTTCAAAGCACATAAAAGACATGCATCCAACAGAAAGCAAGTGACACAGCATGTAATAAGCCCATGCAAAAAGTCAGTAAGCCATTTCTTAAAAGTACCCAAAGCACTGCGATTTGCAAACAGCAATTAGAGTTGGAGAAGAAATTTAAACACGCTCACACACATACACAAAACCGAGACGCACAACTTTTGCAGCATCGGATCATTCACAATTGCTGGATTAACAGCTTATACGCTTACATGCGGTTTGTGAAGACTTTTCTTTGTGCGGCACTCCTTGTAAACATAACCAAACAGCTCCAAGTGTTACAACAGGTCAGTGCAAAAATCTACCAACACTCAAATATAACATAACCAAACCGTTTCAAGTGTTACAACAGGTCAGTGCAAAAATCTACCAACACTCAAATATAACATAACATAACCAAACCGCTCCAAGTGTTACAACAGGTCAGTGCAAAAATCTACCAAACACTCAAATATAACATAACATAACCAAACCGCTCCAAGTATTACAACAGGTCAGTGCAAAAATCTACCAAACACTCAAATATAACATAACATAACCAAACCGCTCCAAGTATTACAACAGGTCAGTGCAAAAATCGGTAACACTTTATTTTAAGGTGCTTGTAATAAGCAGTAATTAACAGTTAATAAGACACTTATAAGACCTTATAAGACACTTATAAGACCTTATAAGATGCATATAAGCATTAACTACTTCATATAAGGGTTAATTAAAGGTCCAGGCCCTGAAGAGATCAGGGAAACTACTCCCTCTTGGGAAGGTCAATTTTTAAGGGCCTGGGAGTTTGTGTTACCATTTATGTTTGTTTGGCTGTTCTAAAAGTGCAATGTATTGATACTTGAGAAATTTATTATTTAATTTAATTTAATTATTATCATTAGTTAATGCTTATATGCATCTTATATGCATCTTATAAGGTCTTATAAGTGTCTTATTAACTGTTAATTACTGCTTATTACAAGCACCTTAAAATAAAGTGTTACCCAAAAATCTACCAAACACTCAAATATAACATAACATAACCAAACCGCTCCAAATGTTACAACAGGTCAGTGCAAAAATCTACCAACACTCAAATATAACACACAACACACCTGAAGGATTCAAAAATCTCTTTGAATCTAGGTGCAATGCGACAAAACAAGAAGCTAGTTATATATCTTCCATGCTAAGCTTATTGAAACTATCAATACATTTTGTTTGGTCATTTCATTTCTATGTGCGTCACATGCAAAACCCCAATTCAAAATCAGTACATTTGATTGGCAGTGATTGTCAATCTAACACAACAATGTAAGAAACTAAAACATCGCATCAGCCTCACCAAACAACCTTCAAATGTCCTTCACAGGTTGTGTTAACACAACAGTTGTGCATAGTTAGCAGCAGAATACAACTTCTGACAACAACGAAACAGTAGAAGCTAGACAGTCTGCGTCATATTTTCAGTTTGAAGTCTATGCCATTTACATGTGCTAATAGAATATGCCGGTTAAAAAGGTCAGCGGCTGCATTGTGAAGGTTTCCGACTGCCTTATGCGACAGTGACTTATTGAATATAGGCAGTAATAAGGCGGTCAGGGTGAGCTGCATTTGACATATTCCAGCTCCTTAATGAGCTTCCATTCTAGACCTGGCAGAGCGCCGTCTGGTACCCTCCACACAAGCGGTGATGGTCAGATATTTCTCATTGACACGCTCAGACAGCTTGTGAAGGATTACGGTCATAAAAGGCAAAAACCTCTAGGGGTTCAATCCATCTCGTGCTTTAATCTGAGAATATAAAGTTAAATGCTAATAGGGGAGAGGAAAAGGCAAACTTTTCTAGCAACACAAGCTCAATTGCATGAATTGTTGCACTTTGAAATATGTGCAATTTATAACAAAATGATAGTATGCTCATATTCGATGCAAATGACACTATAGCTTTAGCATACATTCTCTACTTCTTTGGTAAGTTGTCTTTTTCAAGTTAACTACTGTCATGACAGCAACAGTTTGAAGATAACCCTCGTAAGCTAGCTAGCTAGTCAAAGTTAGTCAAATTGTAAACTTGTAAATTGTAAACTGTTGACATGTTTATAGCAAGCTGTATAATGTCCGAAACCATAGTGGACGTTATCGAGTGCACTCATTCAATCCCACAATGCACCGCAATTACGGCTAGCGAATACCCATAATGCACCGCGAGAGTGAACAGAAGATGGCACCCACAGCAGAATCATCCATCCGTTTCCCAAACTGCTGGTCCAATGTGGCTACAGTGTAATATCATACAGGTATAAATTCCTTTTTAATTGATTAGTAAATAGTTTGATTAATGTTTACATAGTTGCCAATTGCCATGACAGAGCTCAAGATAAATCTTTTCAATAATACTAGACCTGCCAGTTTGCAAAGTTTCAAACAATGATTAAATAGCAAGCAAAAGCGGCAGGCCATCCGCCGCACTCAGTGTCCGAATTCGCTTACTCGTTTTCATTCACTCACTCAAGTGTACTATATTAGTGGACAATTATAGGGAATAGTGAATAAGGGTATAGGGGGCAATTTAGGACACAGCCACAGTCCTTTTTTATTTATTTTTTTAGCTAACTATATAGCCCCCTAGGATTGTTACCACTGCAATATGTTCCTGGCCAAACAATGACTTTGCTACTTTTGTAATTCACTATTAGGACAGAAAATAAGAAGAAAGAGGGAAAACACACACCCTTGCTGAAACAAACCCCTGGTATAAACTGGTTTTGCTGATTTCCCATCCTGATCAATCTAGCGTTCCCATCGTTTAACTGGTCTCCTAGCCAGGCCAAGCCGGCAGCTGGCAGGTTCCCCCAAACCCCTCTAAAACCAGCAAACAGACCAGTCTATCCAGACTGGGAGACCAGTTAACCGCCATAGGCAGGTTTAAACTGTTTCAGCATGGTCTTCAAGTATTTATTGCAGTATTTTATTTTTTAACTTTTGTGTGTGTAGCATAATTAGCTGCCTATCTTGGCCAGGCCACTCCAGCAATAAAAACAAAACAGTTTTAATCTCAAGGTTTCCTGGTTAAATAAAGGTCTAACAATATAATGGGCTTACAAATGATTCCATTTCCTGCTTTAACTTTATTAAACCATTATTTTAAATTCTCAAACACCCCTCATTAATGTTAATGACAAATGCTAACGCTAACAGGCTGCTGTTTCTAATATTGTGGGGTCACAGGAACAATTTGACTTCTGAAGTCTTTCTCTCGAATTTAATTACTGTGACACTCCACGGCTAAAGCCATTCAACCACAGGAACCCATTTATGTATACTCTACCTCTCTCTCTGTCTCCATTTCTCCTTCCTCTGCTCTTTCTATTCTAGGTTTAGTCAGAGAGTGTCCACACTGTGGTTTGGCCGCTGGTGGTGCGACCACTCTCTCAGCTATCAGCTCTGAAGTATTAATCTGGCCTTTAATGGGATTAGATGAACTGGGGGCTTCATTATACAGAGAGAGAGAGAAATCCACAGGACTGGAAGAGTTGAAAGAACCAGCCTTCTTTCTCTAATTCGTTGCTCTTTCCTTCAGTGCACCTTTCTGTCAGTATCTCCTCAGCTCTCTCTCCATCACTCTAATTGGTAAACTCGTTTTGTGCCCCTAATTTTTTTCCTGCTGAAGGCGTGAGTTTATACTGCTACTATATTTATGCCACACCATAACTAGCTCCAACACAGACAGACGCATTAAAACTGCAAAATGACCCCCATG